TATGCACAAACAATGAATCATGGAACACTTCATCTAAAACTAATGATGTAATGTATGGGGATTAACATAAGAATAAAAAAAAAAGTAACTATATGTTAAAAGGTTAGGTTTATTTAGTAACAATGATAATAATAATAACAGCTAACATCTATTGAACTCTATGTGCCAAACACTGTTTTTATTTAATCCTCATGATGATTATATGAAGAAAGTCTACTACTATCTCTTGCTTATATATTAGGAAAGTAAAGCACAGAGAGATTAAATAACCTAAGGAGTGGTAAGGCTAGGATTCAAACTCAGGTAGTCTAACTCAAGGCTGAAGGAATTTAATAAAAACTAACAGATGTCCTGAGTTGCAGGAATGAAAATGCCAAGCGAAATGTTGTTGATAGGCTAAACTTGCTGATTTTACAGATGAGGAAAATGAGTCTTAAAGTTCCAAGGTCACACAGTTAATGTGAGATCAGGAGTAGATCTCAGATTTCCTAACTCCTAGGTCACTCAGTTTCTCTTATTCTGCTATACTGCATGCCCTTAAAAACCAAAAACTGGGCAGGATAGAATGAGTAAACACGTTGGGCCAGGTACAATTTATGTGGGACACAGAGAAAACTTCATTTAGAATCTATAATATAAAATTAAAGCCACTTTGAATAAGATTTGAATATTAATAATTAAAACAGAAATTAAGTTGTATGTTAGACCTCAGTAAAATAGTTTTTTTAAAAAAACAAATTAAGTTTTAAGTCCCTTATTTTTATAAAAAGACTGGGATAAATAATGGAATTCGTTTACAACTTTCAAATAAAAAAACGGAGATGGCTCTTAAACTTGTTTTTAAAGTAACTTTTTATTGCAAAATAAAGTAAATGTACATTGCAAAAAATTTTGGCATAGGATAAAATTAATACTCCTCCCATCCAAGTATTGGTGTGAAGGTGTTTTTTTTTTTTTAACCACAAGAAAAGTATATAAAAATCAATTTAGCTATTTTTAACAAACTACTTTTTTCAGGTGGAGAGTTCCTTATTTACCTTCATCCGTTTCGCATTTATTCAACACCTACAGTGGAACAGTCACTGCGCTAGGGAGGAGGACCGTCCGTATAAAATATAGGGAAGGAAACATATAAACATATTTATCAATAATAACACAAAACTTGTGTCAAAATACACTGAGAGTATCTAGCAGTTGTAACTGTGACACTAATCATTTTGGAATCCTTAGGTTTTTTTTTTTTCCCCCGAAACAAACGCTCAACGTAGGGCTGGTGCAGTATTATGATCAGCACTACTTCAAAACCTATGTTCAGGACAACTGAGGTGAAAACACTTCATTTTAACACTTGTCGAGTATTTAAGTCTTTCAAAATCCCCTGTGTAGCGAATCGGAAGGACGCGTAAGGCTGGAGAAACTATCACGCCGGGACAGAGACCCTAGAAGGGTCGCATCTATTTGGAGTCCCCAAGGGCCGCCTGGGGGAGCGGTGCTTGTTGGGACTTGTAGTCTCTACCAGGACGGAGGACATTGCACCTCCATTTATAATGCATTTCTTCCTTTCAAGCTTTCTGGCCCGACGGATTAAGCCCTAGCCTAAAGCATAATGCGACTACTTCTACCTCATTCTAGACTCATTGTGTTTCTGCTGGGGTTCTTCTGTGCAGCACTCAAACCCACAGACTCACTCACCAGCCTCAAAGCGATTGGCCTGTCCTCGGTGGTGGGCGGGGCCCTAGGTGGACTGGAGCTCGGGATTGGCCAGTATCTGACTAGACGAGGCGTTTTCTTATCCACTTGCTGATCTGTAAACTGTGGTAAAAAAGTGAGTCCTTTACCGCAGTACCCCTCTTCGCCGCGGGAAGTCTCGCGATATTTCGGCTGCGGGGACCTAGCGACGCGTAGTGAGCGGCAAAGGCCAGTGGGGGTGGCGGACACCGGAGCCGGGAAGGGACAGGTCAGGCGGGGAAGGCGAGCGCGTGCTGCCTGCGCCACTGGGGCTCGGTCTGGGCCAGCCACCCCGAGCCGAGAAGAAGTGTGTGGACTGCGCGGCCCTCCTCCGGGCAGTCGGCCTGGGGTCTCGGCCCTTGAGTCTACGCGGAGCTTCACCTGGGCCCCCGCGGGCTGTGACAGGTGCGCGGAGGAGCGCAGCGCTGCGCCGCGCCCTCTCCGCGGCCCGCCCCCTCCGGGCCTTGCCCGCCAGGGCTCGGGATGAACTGCGGGCCCCAGCTGAGCGGCTCCGGCTCCTGGCGCCTGTCGCTGCCGCCGTCGCCGCCCAAGAGCGGCCGCCGCCCCTGAGGGAAGGAGGGAGGGAAGCGGCAGCTGACCCTGGGCATGAGCCGGACGCGGCGTCCGTTGCTGGACTAAGGCGCAGACATGAACCTGCACCAGGTGCTGACCGGGGCTGTGAACCCTGGCGACCACTGCTTCTCCGTGGGCAGCGTCGGCGACCAGCGCTTCACGGTGAGTGGAGGGAGGCTTCCGCGTCGCCCGTGGCGGGTCCGCGCCCCTGAGTCAGCCGGGATCGGGCCAGAATCACGAATCACGGGGCCGAGGCCAAGAACGCCTGGTCGCCCGCACTGGGGTCCGCAGGTCCCCCACGAAGGTCCCCGCCCCTTGGACCGGGTGGACCTGGCTTTTGAGAGCGAAGGAGGTAGAAACATGTTCGTCATCGAGGCACTGAGTCGGAAGTTAGAATGTTTTGTAGGATTTTTAAAGTTTCTAGTCTGACGTCCTTGGACTGGCATGGTTTATCAAAATCGTTTACCCAGAAATAATTGTTGTAATGTGTGTGGGGGCTTTTCGTAGGCTTAAGTTGTCAAATTTAGAAATAGTTGGGATTGGTTTAATTTCTTTATACTAATTTAAGATCAAGTATCTTTGTAATTAAAGTGGGTGTCTTAAAACAATTACTGATTGTTTGCTATCAATATCTAGCGCTGAGTAATACAGTGAAAACAGTGTTTTCATTTACTTTTCTTCATATTCACCGAGGAATAACTTTGGAAAAAAGGAAAAAATATTTTTCATAAGTAATTCACTCCTGTCGTCCTTTGAATTCCATATGTAACAGTTTAGAAATCCTGGGAAACTTTTTATTTTAGATTGCTCACGTTAATTACTAAAAGTTGCATTACAGTTTTTCAATAAAACTCCTCTGGTGTGGAGTGGTATTTCCAGGTTAAGATTTACTGAATGTCGCTCGTTTTTCATTGGGAAGAAGGCCCCAAACTTCTGGCTACTTAGCAGTGTAGTGGCATT